AGGGTTCCCAAAGGCTCCATGTACCTTTATAGCAGATACTCAGGCCTTAAAGGGGTCCCTGTATAGGTACTTTCTTGACTTGGGCAGAAACCCCAAGGGTCCAAAGGATCCGGTAATCAGGTACTTAGGTTTCGGCGTTCGGGGTTTAGGGTTTAGGGGTTTAGGGTTTAGGGTTTAGGGTTTAGGGTTTAGGGTTTAGGGTTCGGATAGTAGTTATGTAAGTGATTATTTGGGGGAGTATAGGATTATTAGGTACTTGGACCCTTAGGGCTACCTACATCTCTGTAAGCCTTTGCCCTTCGACTGAACATCTGAGCCCCGACACCTCGAAACATGAATTAGATGCTGTAATGAGAATAAGGAACCCCAAAAGAGTATAGGCTTACAGTATAGGTACTTTTTCAAATACACAAATTCGCAAAGCTAGCAGTCCGAATCATTCTGCACCAGATTTGCTCGGGCTCTCTCCGTGCAAGAGAGGATACAACTAGGTAGTTCTGTAAAATAGGTCCCCTTTTGGAGTGCTGTCTAGAAGGGTGCCGTACTACATTGGGATCCCAGTTTGCAAAAACTACCCAACTAGGTCGGGAGCGGATCAGATGCCAACCCTGGCAAAGTCACGCACCCATGGTTGCCAATTGTTACCCATGTTCATGCCTACCCCTAAGGGTCCAAGTACCTAATCATCATATACTCTCCCAAATAGTAACCTACATAACTACTATCCGAAACCTAAGTACCTGATTCTTGGGTCCTTTGGACCCTTGGGGTACCGGAATAGAGCTTGAAGATAACTGCAAGCCGGTCTGGGATGAGGTTCGAGGTCCGAAAAGCCGCCCTGAAGGGATGCATCGAACTCGTGTGCTTGAGACTGTCCCGCCAGACTCGCAGTGCTCTGACATCTGCCTGACGTAGGCCTGGCGGTATTGAACATGCAAGCACAGCAAAAACAAAACTAATTAGGCTTAAAGATTGAGCTGCTACTATCCGGATTATCAGGGTTGTAAACCGCAATCCACAGGGAGAGCGTTTGAAATGATGCCTAGATCAAGCAAATAACTGAAGGAATCGAAAAATGCACGCGTAGCTTCTACTGCTGGTGCCCCTACTCCCACTCCTACT